TAAATACCAGCAATTACAAGTTATGGCAGAACTTTTAATGGTTGATGATGAGATTCCTAAGAGTTTAAACATTAGTCATTATTTAAATAGTCCTAATGAACTAAACAGAGCAGGAAATGAAGTAGCCAAAAAAGTAGTTATTGACAAACTAGCAAAACATTCCTTGGAAAAATGAAAAGAAGCAGTTAAAAATATTACTGATATAGAAAATGGCGAAACCAAAATTGAGAACTTATGGCGAGAATTAGGACTAGAAAAATCCTTAGCAGAACTTATTACCGCGGGGGAAGCGGCTAATGAATTAGCCGACTTAGCCAAAATAGTGGGAGAAATTGATAAACATAGTAAAATTAGTAAGGAGAACCTCGAAGAAACCGCCAAGATTGCTGCTATAAAAGAAAAATACTGAGGCTTGGAATTAGCCGATTTATTTGCCCAAGCGGAACAAGAAGAAAATCAGGTTTTAGAAAAATTAACTGATTTAGAAAGTTTAGTCAATCAAATTACTGCTTTTAAAGCTGAGTTTACTGGCCAACGAACCATCCAAAAAACTCCCCTTTCGGACTTAACAGGCAAAGCCATAGTTTGGAACGATAAAAATAACGGATACAAGGAGAATGAAAGCCAAGCTTGTGCCCAATTAGGAGTATTAGATAATAAATTAGTTGAAATCGAAGCCAAGTTAGCCGAACTGAAAAACTGACAAAAAACTGCTGACACTGCTAATACCTGAAACAAGTTGAGAAAAACCGCCCAGGAAACTTGAACCGCAGACGAATTAACAAGTTTTGAAAAGGAACTAGACGATTTTCCACCTTTTGTGGCGAAAGAAAGTGAAGTCCAACCCGCTCACTACCGAATTTTCCAAGTAAGTTATCGGGAAAAAACTGCTAATAATAAACGAGAACTAGCAAAAATAGAAAATCAAGCCAAGAAAAATGCGGAAAATTATAAGGAACTGGAAAAGAAAATAGACCCCATTTTAAACGAAAATAATGAAGATTTAGACTTAATTAAAAACAACATTGAAATTTTAAAAGGTCTTATTTCCCCAGACGAAAAAGAATTAGCAGACTTGAGAAAAAAAATTGTTAAGGAGAAAGGAGAAAATGCTATTAAAAGAAAGTTATTAGAACTAAGAAAGAAAGAATATTTAGTTGAGAATGATGACAAATCAAAGTTAAATGACGCAGAGATAACATTAGTTAAAAACGCAATAGATTTAGAAAAAGTGAATTATCATTATCGATTTTGTCTTTAAAATCGATTCCTAATTTGGATAAATGATGCAGCATAAACAAAAGCGGGACAGTTCGTAGCGCTCGACCGGCAATGGGCGATATTGTCAAACGTCGGTGCGAATCAACA